GCCGAAGAACAGCCGCTAGAAAGAAGCCATTTGTCTTTAAAGCTGGAAACTTCTTTAAACAGGTCCGAGTCCAGAGATGAGAGGGAAGATGTTCTTCTGCACGTCACAAGGCTGACTTCCTGAGCAGACCAGCACCAGCTGACCCAGTGACAACAAGACCAGTGTCTCACTATAAACAGCGTTCAGAGAGTTTATTGGTTCTCAGATTCCTCTAGGGCAATGAACCTCATCTGGCGGCCCGCGGGCCACATCCGCCACTTTTACCCCTCTGTAACTATCTTGCAGTCCTTTAAGAACCTTTGTAGAATGCATCTAGAACCTAGCAGGAAATGTTCTGGAGTTTGTTTCTTTTAGAACATATTTGATACTCATCGATAACCTTTTAGGAACCCTTCATGAACCAGTCTGAAACCCACCTAGAAACGTTGTGAATTCCCCAGTAAACCAGCGTCTTTAGGAACCTTGTTGGAACCCTTCCAGAACTTTTCTGTGACCCTTCTGAGACGTTTTGTTAATTGCCTCCTTTGGTCGTTGACACAGTGAGCGGCCCAGCAGCAGATAGAAAGGAACTGTTCTAGTTCTGACTGGCTCTCGGGGCTTTGCACAGCCAGAGGGCTCAGACTGGTTAGATTGTGTGTTTGGTAGAGGATCAGAGAGCAGGCGGAACTTTTACCTCAACAGATCACAGTTTATCTCATTTTATTGTCACGTCTGTTAGAAAAAGACTTTTCAGCACAGTCACTGCTTGTGAACACCGTTTAGTGATATTCTATTTGTATTTGTTAAACACTAGAGTTGTACACCATCAGGATCGATAAACACCAGCTGGTAACCACGAAAGGCCCACCAGTGTTTATAAAGTGCATCTCTAAGAATGTTTGAGATCAGCTGACTGAAAGCAGCTGAGATTTTCTGATCCACTTTACATACATGCTTTTATGACTACTAATTATTATTGATTTTCTTAATTGTAAAGCTAACTACGTCTGTTGCTGCTGCCTCTCGGCCAGATCATCGTTGTAAAAGAGAATGAGTTCTCAGTCGACTCATCTGGATAAATGAAGGTTATTGTCAGGTTTACACACCTAAGACACCATACAACAAACACAAGGAAAGAGAGACAAAGTCAGAATTCTGTTTGAAGCTCGAGGAGAATGGAATACGGTCCGACCAGCACAGTCTCCACTGCACCGGCAGATCCTCCAAAAACCATTCTGCCTTCCGATCCGAGCAACCTGTATTTATTCAAAGCTGGGCATTCCCTAGTTACATGCCTGAGAGCTGACCTAAAGGATGGGGGAAATCAACAGCTCTCAGTATCTCGGTGACATTTGCACACCATATCACAAAACAAAGTTGCATATACAGTTAAGTCTTTATCAACAGAAAACGCATTTCTCCGTGCGTCAGCAGACTCGTCCTTGTGGCTGGTTCACAACACTTTAAGTCTCTTTATGAGGCTTCTGCAAAACAGCAGCTGTCAGTAAGAAAATAATAAATGGGAAAACCTTTAAGAATAAAAGCATAAAGCATGATAAAAGAAAACACACATTATTATTTTACAGTTATCCGTCCATCCATTTTCATCTGCTTATCTGGAGTCGGGTCGCGGGGGCAGTAGCCTAAGTCGAGAGGCCCAGACTTCCCTCTCCCCAGCCACTTGGGCCAGCTCCTCCGGGGAAGACCCTGGCCAGGTGAGAGACATAGTCCCTCCAACGTGTCCTGGGACATCTTTAAGGTCTCCTCCTGGTTGGACGTGCCCAGAAAACCTCACCAGGGAAGCATCCAGACCAGATGCTCGAGCCACCTCAACTGACTCCTCTCGATGTGGAGGTGCAGCGAATCTACTCCGAGCCCCTCCCAGATGACCGAGCTTCTCACGCTATCTCTAAGGGAGAGCCCAGCCACTTTGCGGAGAAAACTCATTTTCAGCCGCTTGTATCCGCGATCTCGTTCTTTCAGTCATTACCCAAAGCTCATGACCATAGGTGAGGGTAGGAACGTAGATTGACCGGTAAATTGAGAGCTTCGCCTTCTGACTCAGCTCTCTCCTCACCACGACAGACCGGTACAACGCCCGCATGACTGCAGACGCAGCACCAATCCGCCTACTGATCTCATGCTCCAGCTTTCCCTCACTCGTGAACAAGACCCCGAGATACTTAAACTCCTCCACTTGGGGCAGGACCTCATCCCTGACCCGGAGAAGGCATTCTTGCCTTTTCTGATTCAAGACCATGGTCTCAGATTTAGAGGAGCTGATTGATGAATAAAGGTTATATAAATAAATATTAAAACACACAGACTACCCTTTAACAATAACACAGTACACACGAGAGGCAGGTTAGTTAATGTGAAACACCTGTTTACAGTTTACTGTTATTAATTATCATCACGTTGTTTGAAATGGTTTAACATAAAAACCTCTCATACTCTTTGGTTTAACTCAGGGGGAAACCTGACAGAAGATATCTTATTTAATATCCTTTAAATCAAGCCAGCTGTAGTGTTTTCTCACAGCGTTTAATCATTAAATAGACATGGTTATATTAATGTGCAATCCTTTCATCCATCAGCGATCTCACCTTCAAAAACAATCTGTGATTGCTACACAGACTGATCCATGCTATCACAGTTGCTCTATGACCAAAAAGGAGGGACTCATTTGTTCAGCTCCTGCTGACCTGAAGTGATGCTGTCAAATATAACACAGGAATAAATGCAGCAACACTTACATCACAGCTTCCAGATGGAGGGTTCAATCCATCTTCGCTCAGGGGAACAGCAGAGCCCAAACTGAAACGTCTGCATACGCTCAATTCAGAAGAGGCCTAAGACTATTTCTGGGCTCAGTGTCCAGGTAGAGTTTTAGGATTAGTACTTTCATCAAAAACCAGCTGTAGCAAGTCCCATGCATGGCTACTGCCATCTAGTGGATGGTCTGGTGGGCAAGTTTTATTTACTGTTTCTGCTGCTTCCTACAGTTAGTGCCTCTCTCAGGGACTAGAGAGTCCTCTATTAGTGTCCTGTGAATATATGTAGAACGAGTCTGAGACAGCTGCAGCTGCTTGCATTTCGCTCCAGCACTGCCACTCGTCTCCCTGTCCCCCGCAGCCGTGCGCGCACCGCCTCCAGCTTCTTAAGTTTTAATGAGGGCAAAACAGAGGTAATCGTTTTTAGTGTAAGTGCTAGTCATGCCTCTAAACAGGAAATTGAGTTCTCTTCGCTGGCCCCTTATAAAAAAGAGCTAGTCATTAATCTGGGTGTAAAGTTGAATGCATCACTAAAGCTAGAGACTCATAAAAATGGAGTGGTGCATTCTTGTTTTTTTCATCTTCGCCGTTTATCCAGGATCAAGCCATAGTGTCACAAGCTCATCTGGAGAACATAGTCCATGCTTTTATTACTTCTCGCCTAGACTACTGCAACTCCTTTTACGCCGGAGTTAGCAAGGCTAAACTTGATCGACTGCAGCTTGCACAAAACGCTGCTGCTAGATTCCTGACCGGTGTTCTGACTATCCGTGCTTCCTCGTCGAATTTTCCTACCAATGCGCATTTCAACAGCTGATTCAGTATGTCCAGGTTTACTGAAAATCGGTAGGTACTGTTAATTTATTTCATGAAAAAAGTGGATAGTGTTAGAAGCAGTTTAGTCATTTCATAAAAATTAACCCCTTAGTAGCTAAAAACATTTGAATATTCTCAGAACAATGACGATTTATCTATTACTTTCACCTATGTCGAGAAAGTGATTCATAAAAATGGAGATTTGTAAGACGTTAGCTCTTACCGTTCTATTTCTCTACCTAATCCTTTATTAGACAAATTAATCCACATAGAACAAACATGCTTTCCCCCAATACTTATAGTTATTTGTTTGAATGTATAATTTTGGAGATTATTACACAACTATGATAAATTTATTAAATGTATAATATAAAACTTTTGGATATTAATTTGGGACTCCTTCAGAATAACTGTAAACAATAGGAGAAATTTCAGGTTTACAGTATAATAATAATAATGACATTTTAGAAGCCATTTAGAAGCTAACTGTCAGGTAAACATACAGCAGGCAGTAATTTAATAAAACAACTTAAAGAAATACTTACTGTGACCTTCGACGAGTTGAAAGTAACTAGATAAGTGACGAGATTAAACGTAAACTTCCACAGATAGTGCGTCTCGACTTGTGAACAGCCTGTGACGCAACAATCAGCCTGTGCATTTCCCCAAAGTAGCACATTTCGACGGGGAGCACGAATAGTCGGAACACCGGCACCAGAAAGCGGGAACACATCACACCTGTCTTATACTTGTTTTTGTTTTCAAGTCTCTGCAGGGCTGTGCTCCAAGTTATTTGACTGAGTTACTCACCCAATATAAACCACCCCATGTGCTTAGGTCATCACAGCGAGACCTACTAGTTTTCCCAAGACCAAAATGCTCAACTAGAGGAGGCAGGGCTTTTTCAGTGTTGGCCCCCAAAATATGGAATGGTCTTCCACTCGAGGTCTGACAAGCACCCCCACTGCCGGTTTTTAAGAGTCGGATGAAGACTCACTTTTATACAGTGGCGTTCCCTCAGCACACCAGCTAGCCATATTTTTAGATCATTTAGCTCATTTTAAATCAGTCTTACTTCACTTACTTTATCTTTTTTTTATTATTGTCATTCGTTGCTCTCATCTCCTGCTTTTATCTGGTCTTATTTGTTATGACTATTTTTGTAGACCATTGAATGGGCCAGCTATGTTTTTAATGCATGTACAGCTCTTTGGCTTGCCTTCTGGCAGTTGGAATGTGCTATATAAAGTTGATAAGGATGATAAACATGATTTCCAGCTTTCAATCCAGTGATCACATGAAGTTGGTGCAGGACAACCAACCCAAGGGGAAGAAGCATAGTTTCCCCAAACCAGCAAGGCTGTCATGGAGAGAACCAGCCCCCCCATCCCCCACCCCCACCACCACCACAAGTAATAAATGCCAACGGAACACATTTAAATAGCTTTAATGACATAATAACATTTAAAGAACTCAACCGCTTAATGAACTCCAACATAATGACACAATAATGGTCTAGGCTGTCAACAGCTCAGTAACCAAAGCAAAACTTCCAATGATCCAGAGACTTCAGTCTGTTGACCAACGGATTAGAAACAGGCTTAACTCTGTTATACAGAAATTCAGGTGTTTACTTTGACCACAGAGCTGTCAATTGAACATTAATTGCACTGTTTAATTAATTAACCCCTCCCCCAAGAAAGATGAGAGACAGTCTTGTCTGACTGGATCAGCTGACAGGGAGGTCTGGGGTGGGCCACGATGTTCTCATTAACTCAGAAAGCACCATTTGTTCCTTTCATAGGATGGGTACAGAAACATAACCCAAACCAGTCTGACTTGGGCAACTGGTTCAGTCATACACCGGCAAGCCAAAGAGCTGTGGATCAAACTTCTCCATGCTCCTGAGTCTGAGTGTAGCCCCCTGGGTAAGGCTTGGGTCCAGGTTGTCATCAGGAATCATCACCACCTGCATTCCTGCAGCAAGCGCTGCCTGAACCCCATTAGGTGCATCTTCAAACACCAGGCACTGATGAAACAGGACAAGACAAACAAATATTCAGTATTACAAAGTGTGGAAGGGGCAAAGTTAATCTGACATCATAGGCCCAGCAAACATGTGGCTTTGGTTTCAAGTCAAGTCTCTGTCAAATGACTGACGTCCGCCATCTCATTACCAGGTAAACTTAAATAAAAAAAAAACCTGAAAGGAAAATAAAGATCTGCAGTAAAACCTGAAAACAACAACAAATTTAGAACCAAGAAACATCTCAAAGATCCTCAAACATGAATATTCAAGAGTATAAACCTGATCAGAATAAACGTCCCCTCTTTGTGTACATAAAACCATACATCCAATCTGTTTTCAGCCGCTTATCTGTGGTCGGGTAGCGGGGGCAGCAGCCTAAGCAGACTTACCTCTCCCCTGCCACTTGGGCCAGCTCCTCTGGGGGGCAGTCTTTTTCTCCCTCTTATTCAGGTCCAGGTCTCAGATGCAGCAGCCCAAGCATGGAAGCCCAAACTTTACCAACCCTACTCACTTTTACCAGCTCTGGGATCCAAGCTAGGGGTCTTCTCTCAGAAGGCATCCCTGGAAACCCTTCCTCAGGGAAGTGGTCAGTAGGCGTGCAAACCACAAGCTCAAACCGCTTCAGCTGGCTCCGCTTAAGATGGCGAAGAAACAGCCTCTCTTCTCCAGTAATTTAGAGTAGATTTTCCAGGGAGGTAGAAGCTTGTTATCCCACTACAAGCACAGGCACTACCTCTGCTTCCAATATGCTGCCAATATTAAAGAGGTGCATCAACCCAGACAGTCAAATGCTATTTTTTAGGACAGATTTTGTCATTCCTGGGGCACCTCCACTACTTAAATGTATAACTACTTTGGTAATTTCTGCTCCATAAGTCGACTTACACCCAGAACACACGAGACACGGAAGCAGGACGAAGTGTCGCGAAACGCAGTGGAACGACGAGCGCTTCTAATCAGCGCCCTTGTTAACCTACGCTCTCGGTCACATCAGCTGCAAAGCACCGCGAAGCCCCACGAAGCAATCGTTTCAGCATGAGCTCTCCCAGCTCTGGTTCCTCAATGGAATGTGTGTTGGTGAGATTGAGGATCTTTTCAACCCTTCTTCACGTGACTATGTATCCAGTTGTCTTCAGCAGCTCTGCTTCCCCACTGTAAACTGTGTGAGTGAGTTACTTACTCTTTCTCCAGACAGTTTGCAAGAACCTCTTTAGGGATGATCAATAGTCTTTCAACAATAGGAGAGCAGAACAAAACTGATTTAGGCTCAATCCCCCATTTCCATTGAGAGGTGGTCTTGACAGATTCGTCCCAGGAGACTCTTACTACTCAATTGGGCCTTCCAGATCTACGCGGGGTCTTCCCCGGACATCTGGTCAAATTCACCACCAGATGGTAATCAGCTGAAGGCTCTCCTATTTACCGAAGTGTTCAAAGCATGTGGCCAAGTGGTCCTGCTTGAACACTTTGGGGATGTTCAAGTAAACTGAGCATGTTTTCCATTTTACTATGAAATGGGTTTTACTGTACAACACAGTGATTCTCACTTCATTTAAGTCTGACTGTGAGGGAGCACTTACAGAGTATCACGTACACCATCCAGGCGCTTCATCTCTGAATAGATTAGGGTGTAAAATAAGACTGCATGCTGTTTGTTTCCAGCAAACAGAAGACAGAATTTATATCAGCAGTAATAAACAAAGCTGTCACTACAGCTGAGACATATGACTGATGCTTATGTAAAGCTGAATGCTTTGTATGTTACTATATTTGTCAAAAACACACAACAACACAGTTCAGTTAGAAGAGGCAGAATGTGTGTTTATGTTCTGCAGTGCTGAGTGAATAAATGACAGTGACAGATTGCCCGTCGTATTGTTTAAATGATCCTGGAGCCTGGGGTTGTATGAGCCAAGAATGTGGAACATTTCCTCTTCAGTGATGTTGGAGGACAGAAATAAAGTGATGATACACACAAATGTTCAGGTTGGTTCAGAGGTTTTCTCCTCCTTAAGGCAAGTTTTAATGACTGCTGTGGATAAGATGGATGTGACATAACTGAAGGGAGGAAAACGGTGTCTGAGTTCTACGCAGAGCACATTATTAGCACACTGAAAGGTGTCTCAATAAACTAGGCTGCTGTAACGATCAACATGCTACTTACCGTAATCACAGCTTAGGAGTAGGCAGCATGCCATACAAACTCTGATCAATGGGGTTAGGATTAGTCCCACTTGGAATGTTACTGGAACCACTCAGATTATTGTTGGTACCACTTAAAACTGTTATTGACACCACTGAGGATATTATACATCACTGGCCAATAGTTTCTACACACTAGGGCTGCTCGATTATGGCAAAAATAATAATCACGATTATGGTGACTGAAATTGAGATCACGATTATTTAGGACGATTTTTCAATTTATGTTGATTTTATTTGTTTTTATTCAGTCATAAAACTGCTCAGGGCACAATCAGGACGAAAATAAGAAACAAGATGATCACTAAAATAACTCCTGATTCCCAGTATAAAAAGACCAATATACTTATAGCTCATAGTTTATGACCCAAGGGCTATGACCTTGGTTTAACTCATTTAAGTCTAACCAGTACAGACCCAAATACCAATATCTTGCAAATACTGACAGCAAGAATTATACTGTGGCATTCATAACAAATTAATGCAAATAAATTGATGTTCACAAAAAATTGCATAATACGTATTTAGTCGTGTCAAGGTGCTGTAGGAGAGTGCACTAGCACCGTATCCTCAGAGAGATTAGTTATTATTTATCAGCGTGAGGAACTTATTTCTACCTTATTTATAAACTATTTATTTACAAGTCCATCAGTTAATGTAATAATTGTCCCAACCACAGCTGCACCCCCCACCCCCAACCCGGTCTCACAGCAATCGGGGCAAGCTGCACGTGTGTTTAGCGCGCCGCACGCGCACATTTAGCCGTTTTTAGTGGCTCAGGAGTCCGCAGGTGCGGTGTGTGTGTCACTCACTCTGGTTGCTCCAACAAGGAGCCGGCTCCGAGAGCTGTTTTTTTAGCGACCGACATCGCTACATCATTCCCTTTCCTAATGTCCTGAAGAACGGTCCGGAGAGCAGGCGGTGTTTAGCTAACCTGCAGGAAACGTCGACGATAGTTATCCAGAAAGTAGCTAAGGGTTACCAGAGATGTTTCTGAGGTGTTCACTAGATACTTTTAAGTTAAAAAGTCAAGAAGGGGGTCTGAAAAGCTGCTAGAAATAGCGTCAAAGTCGCTAAATTGGCAACACTGTGGGAGGAGCGCTTCATTTGCAACTCGGGGCAGCGCAGGCGGGAGGAGCAAATAATCGGCTTGTTTTGTTTTTTATAATCGTTCAAAACTCAGATCGTAATCGTGATTAAAATTCGATTAATTGAGCAGCCCTACTACACACCTTCTCATTCAATGTGTTTTCTTTATTTTCATGACAATTTACATTGGGAGATTCTCACTGATGAACACATGTGGAGTTATTTACTTAACCAAAAAAGGTGAAATAACTGAAAACATGATTTATATTCTATTTCCTTCAAAATAGCCACCCTTTGCTCTGATTACTGCTTTGCACACTCTTGGCATTCTCTTAATGAGCTTCAAGAGGTAGTCACTAGGGATGTCCAGATACAACTTTTCCACCTCTGATACGATATCGATATTGCAGCCTTCAGTAATGACCGATAACGATATCAATCTGATAGGATATCAGCACAAATAATCTATACTTTTACCTATTTCGTAGAGTGGAAATGTATGAAAGGCTTGATCGTTATTTTACTCAATCGGAGAACAAGAAATGACATTTTTTTCTTAACCATTGGTTGCAAAACTGTGAACCTTAATACACTGCTTATATCAGAGACTTTTGATGCCATCCGATATAATCCGATACAGTGTTTTTGGGCTGATATCAAATTACTTTCGATATTAAGATTGGAACGGGACATCCCTAGTAATCACCTAAAATGGTTTTTCAACAGTCTTGAAGGAGTTACCAGAGGTGTTTAGCACCTGTTGGCCCCCTTGTAAATAGTTATGGTCAAGAAAATAAAGAAAACACCTTGAATGAGAAGGTGTGTCCAAACTTTTGGCCTGTAGTGTATATTAGTGAGCTTATTGCTAGTAGTGGTGATGTTATCGTTGGTACTAGTGAATGCGCTTACCTGTGCATCATTAAACTGAACTAGATAATGTGACTGGAGCCAGACTTCCTCTGTGTGTTAAAGGCTCAGCTTAGCTGGGACCTTCGTCTTCCTGAAGTGACGAAAGCCACAATTTAACAGGTGCAACACCTTCAAACATGTTTATGTGGAGTGTTGCATCAATAGTATTTTATTATTGTGAAATATTGTGCTTGTTAAATATAAACACTGCAAATGAAAGGACTTTACATCCAGAACCAGATGTCTTAAAGGAGGTCTTTATGATATTGTTGAATTAAGTTGAGTTTTCCAGATCAAGCAACTGAACAAATGAGTACTGCAGTCTGTTTGACTGCAGTTTTCAGTTCCTAAGTATCCTGAGTAAATTCACAGCAAACAGAAGGTGTGTTTTCATCAGCAGGAAACTTTCCTCTGTTTAAACAGAAAGCATACGGCTCACAGGAAAGCCCCCAGAATGCCCAGAGACTTCATCAAACATCAGAACTGAGCCAGAATTAGACTCGGCACATCTCTCAGCTCCAGAGCTGGAGCCTGCAGCAGGATTTACTCACTCATTTAAAGTCTGGGCTGATAAAATTAAAACGATTCACACTGACACAGCTGTATCCAGATATGAGTCGGCACAAGCAAAACAGATAACACAGGGGTAACTAAAAGAGCAGGTGACTCACTGAACACTGGCTATAAAGCATGGATAGACTGGGACCAACCCAGTGCAGACAAGGACGCATGCTGCTGTTTATCCATTCACGCTGAGAAGGGTGTTAAGCAGCTTGAGGTAAGAGAGAGAGAGAGAGAGAGAGAGAGAGAGAGAGAGAGAGAGAGAGAGGGGGGTGTAGGCAAAGAAATGTGCAGATTGTGTGAGCTTCGGTGGGGCAAATGCGATCATGAGCAGCAAAGTTAACTGTATATTTAAAAATTAAGCACAACCCAACCTGACCAGCAGCAATCCCAGAGTGGGACAGTTCAGGGGCCAGGGCGCTGGGAAATGTCCCGGTGCTACGATGGCCAGTCCATCTTTGTTTTACAGGGTTAAAACTAGAATGTTTAAATTCTCGTCAACTGATCACTTCCTGGTGGTGAGTTGAATACGGTTGTGTTGGAGAATGGGAGAAACTCCTGGTAAAACCAAATGAGTTGTGAAGCTGAAGCGCTTAAACCTTGCCACCATGCCTCTTGTGAACACAAGTCATTTTTGTGTACAATTTATTTTTAGTTTTAGGTGCCTACCTCCATCTGACTGTAGCATTTGTATCAACAGGTTACAAAGTTAAAGTTGTTTGAGGCAGCAGTAGCTCAACAGGTTGAGCGGGTTGTCCAGTAATCGGAAGGTTGCAGGTTCGATCCCAGCTCGGACAGAGAATTCTGCTGTTGTGTCCTTGGGCAAGACACTTAACCCACCTTGCCTGCTGGTGGTGGTCGGGCAGCTGTGGCTACATCGTAGCTTATCACCATCAGTGTGTGAATGTGTGTGTGAGTGGATGAATGATACACTGTAGTGTTAAGTGCTTTGGAGTCCTTACTCTGAGAGGCACTATACAAGTGCAGGTCATTTATCATAAGCGATCATCTTGTCTTTATTAATAGACGGCACATAGCTGATCACACTTTAGACTAGAAGCTAATGATGGTATATTAGAGCATCCTGGTGCAATAAGCTAAACTTTTATGAATGACACGATTAGTCGACTACTAAAATAGTCAATTGTAGCAGCCCTAAAGATGTTGCAGTGAGAAGAAGCGGAGAAAAAAATCAAAATACAAAAAATGAAATGGCCAGGGGTGCACGTAAACTGTTTTCTACAATTTTTAAGATATTTATCAATAATTATCGATATCAATCAATATAAAAAAAGTTAATCGATATACTTTTTTCTATATCGTTCAGCCCTAAGTTCATGTGACTGAGCGACGTCATGATGCACACACTGATTTGGACTGAAGTCCAAACATGGATTTTCTTTATGGAAGAGCAGTGCAAATGCTTGCTGGAAGAGAATTGTGAATGGTCTTTTTGTTAAAATGTGTATTTGTTGTTTGTTAGAGTGTTAAAGTGTTAAAAAGAAGCCTTATTTTTGTTTCCCTGTGGTGCCCACTATGTGGTATTTTATGTTTTTGTCAAAAAAAAAGGGGCTACTGGGTTTCTTTCTTTGAAGAGTTTGAGTTGGAAATGAAATGAATCGCTGCTGCATTTGGACGCACACTGAGGAGGAAGCATTTGCTCACAGCCAGAGGTCACATGATCCATTTATCCCAGTTACATTTGTTTAGAAAAAAAGAAATAATCATTTAATAATATTGTTAAATTTCCAGTAATTTAAATTAATATTTAGTTCAAACAAGCTCAACATATTGCCCCAGTAACATGCAAACAGTGCAATTTAATGATTTCACTTAAAAGTATCTTTCCGGAGTTATCATGTATGATTTTTCAGAAATCCGTAAAAGTGATTATCTTACCATGTACTGTGATTTATTAGCAATACGTCTTGTTTTGTGTGTGTGTGCTAAGCACGGCCCCTGCCCCGCAGAGCTCCATGCAATAGGAAACTGAGCGACGACCAGAGCTAACCAATAGCGTTAGACCAGGGGTCGGCAACCCGCGGCTCTTCCATCCATCGGATGCGGCTCTCTGTGCTTGTAAAATAATGAATGGATATTTAAATAAAAAGCTTTATATTTTACTGCATTAATTTTACATCTGTATGCCAATTCTAAATGTAAAGATTGTCTGCGTAAACCTGAACAGGTCCAACCCGGTCTTACTGTGTGACCGGGTTGACGAGTCACGCTTGTGCGTAATCATATAGGTGCTTTCTGAGCTGACGAGGATGTGAGATTCTGGGATTCTCCTCAGCCAGGCTCCTGGATGTGTCGCCACATTGGAGACAGGAACAAGCACTATTCAGCCAAAGTTTCATAATCAGGGAACATTTTCTAAGTGACAAGTCTCGCTTCAGTCGGAGGAATCTTCCTGCATGCGCTCTGGTTCTGCGACGCGCTCCAAGCCCCTCTCCACATCTTCAGCTCGCTGTGCACCTTATGTACACGCTGACAGTGAGCTGCGCTGAGCGGTGTCCAGCTCAGATGTTCAGATGGGAATCTTTTCTTGAGTGATTTAGCTACATCTGCGATGTGCGAAACGAATAAAATGTCAGTTCGTCTGCATGCGTCGGGGTAATTCTTTCTATTCTTTCTCCGTCAAAATAAACGGTCAAATACGGGAACTGTCCGGTCAACACAACACAAGCCCTGCTTTTGACTGTTCTGTTTTCTTGTGAAAATTGTTGCAAAGAGATAAAATTAAACTTGATTAACACCAGAGCCAGGCGCACTGCGCCGTTGTCTCTGTCACTGTAAATGAGGGAAACAAATTGATTGGATCCTTTTCTGACCTTCCCCACCTACAAAGTTTAATTACAACAATCAAATGTGACAGAGCCTGGATTTGTATTCTGAACAGTCTAAACATGTTTAAAAGAAACGTATGACAAAAGTGGCACCTGCTCAGTAAAACCACCAACAGGGTGAAAAATATCAAAATATTGTAGGCAGAGACGGGCTACAACTTCTGGATCCACTTATATAAATCGTTTTATTGATTATCTTTTTATGAAAGATAACTTTGACGTGCACGAGCGACCGGTACTGGCTGCTGTCACCTGTTGTGATCTGTTAAAGCAGCTCTCTGCTGTCTGAGGGTAGGCCCCGCCCACAACGCCGCAGCTGCTGTGGCTCCCAGTGTTGTCTTTACTGTGGGAAACAGGTAATAATGGCTCTTTGATGGGAACAGGTTGCCGACCCCTGCGTTAGACTATCGCTTACTTCATGTTTAAGGAATACCTCAGCTGATGCAGAGTTGATGAACTTTTCACGGACAAGTAAGTCTCTAAAATATAAATATATGAAAACACAACATGACATGAGAATAATACTTGTAAAACAATGTGTTCGCTCCGTTTGTTGACTACAGAAGCACATAAATAAACAAGAAATGTGAAGTCGCCATCTTAAAAAAAACAGAAGGGCTGTGTCTCAATTCAGGGTCTGCATCCTACGTCGGCCGGATTCGTCGGCCGGTTACGTCACAGCGCCGCGACTCGGCCTGTCCCAATTCGAAGACTCCTTCAAATGCGGTCGACGAATGCGGCCTTCTTTTCGCCTGAATGAAGGATGGGTCGGGTGTATCCTTCAATAGGTAGCATTTCCCAAGATGCCTTGCGGGCCGGCCAGCAGAAAAACTTAAAAACAATGGCGGACAGTGAAGCGGGAGCTGTCGGAGAGGATTGCGCATATAAATGTCAGTATAAACTTGAAAACTGTTAGGTTAAGGACTTTTTGTGATACTGAACGTTATTTTAGTTTGAAATGTTACAGTAAAAGTGCTTGTATTGCGGTCTCGGCTCGTATGTTCGGCCGCTCGGTGTCGTACTTCTCCCGCTACGTTTCCCCCCTGATTTTAATAGAAGTTTGTATTTTAGGAACAAAAGAGAAAACCAGGGAATTTATTAAGCTTTGGGCGGTGATGGACCACATGATCACCGGAGCAAAGTATTCGGCGGCTGTGGCATGGAGGTACAATAACATCTCATATTTTAAAAACTCGTTTGAGTTTATTTTTTCTGCGAAAACATGAAAGGAATAACCCGTTGTCCTCTTTTCTCTTCCTGTTTCTTTTCTTACACGTTTGTTAAGACTATTCTGGAGAAAATGGGCATCCAGGGGAAGGTGCCAGCGATGACCAGCTTCTGGAGCTGATCAGGGAGGACATGAGGCTGCAGAGGGAGGCAGAGCAGCAGAGGGCACAGGAGAGAAGGAAGAACTTTGACAGCTTTTTACTTTGCTAGAAAAAAATGGTTAATAAAGATTAAACATGTACATATAAAAGAAATATCTAAATAAAATCAGTTCTGCATTAAACTCTTGAATTTTATTTTTGTTTACAAATGAAAATTGTTTAATATTACAGGGTATCCGCTGGGTCTTGAAAAGTATTAAAAGGTGATAAATCGGTTTTGGTCAAATTAAGACCCTTAGAAAGTATTAAAAACTATTATCACATCTTTGCTCAGGCTCAGCTTGTCGAAAGTATTTTCTCTGAATTAGTTCTCCAACAGTCAAGGAAATGATTAACCCCCAGAGACCCACGGTTGTAATATTACAACATCAGATTTAAGTCTACAAAAATAAACCTTCCCCATTTTTTTTCTTTTTAAAACTACATTTACATTGCTAATAGGTCCTATTGTTCAGTTCTTTAACACTATTGGCTGTTAAAATGTGTAAATAGGCCCGTTTATCTGGCCTCCTAGAACAACATGTGAAAGGTTAAAAAAAGATTTTGCAGTTGTTTTCTAAATTTGGGTCTCTGGGGGTTAAAAAGCTAAATAAAACGTTGAGCTCCATCGTTTAAAGTTCCTTCTCCCTTCTGCCCAGCGGTTCCACGGTTGCTAGGCGACGGAACGTTCGCGGAGGGAGTTCACGAAGGCTAGGCCTGTCCAAATTCACAGCCGTTAACATCCGGTCTACCCGGCCGACGGAGGACGCAGCCCACGTCGGCCGGGTGGGCTGGGTCCTTAGAAGGATGCAGACCCTGAATTGAGACACAGCCAAGGAGAAACTAGTTGTGTGATGTGCTTGTCAGCCACTAGATGGTGCCATCGGATAAAAGACATACCCCAGAAAGAGACTAAATTGGGAACATTTCACCTGCTGCTGACCAAACCTGAACTGGTCACCTGCTTGTGCGTAACCAAATGTCTCTAGGGAGTTTGCAGAGTGTGTCAGAGGCACTCCGAGCTCCGCTTCAACATGCCCTTGCACACACTGTCAGCAGCGAGATGCGTAAAGTGTAAAATAATGCTCAGATACGCTGTTACCTCCGCGATGTTCTCTGTGCGTAATGTGTTAAGTGTTACCGCCTAGAAGACAGAGGGTGGCAGAGTTGCTTAACAGCTGTTTGTTGGTTAAAAGCTCCCGCCAACCCCCATTAGCTTTGCTTAGTTCAGTTAGGTTCTAGCTACATCAGCTGAGTTTGATAGGTGCCAATCAGCTGCCCCCATCCTCACAGCACTGTTCTCAGCTCCAGGGGTGACCAGGCACATGAATGCAGCTTCAATTCAGCTATCAGAAACCTACAGGTGATGTCGCGGAGGGTTTGTCCATCTTATACGTACTGTCTTTGGTTACAGTGTGGTAAAATGCAGTAAAATGGATGAAAGCCAGTAAGAACAAGGGAGGAGAGCAGATCCTCATTGCTGCAATGTTGCAGCATCATTATGTGCACATCCAAAAGTCTGGGTCCAGGAGGGAATTCTACCCTGTGTGAAAACCTTTTTTCCTTTATGATTCAGACTGGAAGCTTCCCCTAAATCACCGCAGCTTTGAAGAAGGGTGCAGCAGCAAACCGTTAAAGAATGAATGCTGGTCATTCAGAGTGGTTCATCTGAAATCATTTTCAATCTGAGAAAAGAATCTGGAGACAAACTGTTAAGACGTGTCTGAAAGACTCCCGAAGACATTCCTCCAAAACAAAATAGTTATGCATTACCACTTTGCTTATTTATACTAGATGTCACATAAACTGTACAATTGTTTTGTTTAAACCAAAATGATTTCTTCAATTTTATGAATGGAGAACCAGTAAGTATGTGAATGCCTGGTGTGAAAACCCGCTCTGCAGAAATGATGTACAGCTGCTACTCTTGCTGTTAAAACATGTTGCTCATCTGTGACTTAAGCCATGATGAAACCAGGACAGGAAGAGGAGCTCCACTAAAACCATAAGGCGTAAAACATCACAACACAACACAACACAACCCCTGGAGATGGACCATATAGTGCTCTTGAAGGGAACACCAAAACACAAATAGAAACCTGGATGTTGCCGGGTGTTAAACTCTATGGTTAAAGGGTCAGGTCTCCTCTGATTTACATAGATGGATCCAGAAGTCCCAGTTTTGTGATTAATAGATATCCAACAGCATATCAGAGACATTTAGAAAGAATGAACCAATTAATACACATCTAAAATCAAACTGAGTGGTTTGAGCAACTCAGTGGTCCTGAATTCACTACACACCAGTGTTTAGTACCGTGGATCTTCACTGGGTGTTTCACAATGTCAAGGCATCTGGCCTCACAAGACATCAACTTGTGAGGCCACTGCTTACAAGGACACTGTCCTTTCTTGGTCAAAGGAAACGGTTCAATGGAACAGACTTGCATCACGTGGCCGCCGCGGAAGCTGCGGTCACGGGAAATCACGTGACACAGTAGATAACATTATATTTTATTTGTATAAGTTTATTAGAGCTGGGCAATAAATCAAACATGTATTGTTTTCGAAATGGAGATCATTTTTCCCATGTCAATAAATTGGATAATAAAAAAATGAAAAGATGTGTGTAGGTTGGCAACGTTCATGTCCCTTTAAGAAGCTGTACCACCTTAAGTCACGTAAAGATGTGACTCAACGTAATACATGTGACAGCCTTATCTAGTGGACAACTTTTGTTTCTTTGCATACCTGTACTTATCGTCCATTTATCACTATCGAGGTGAAATCCTCAATATATCATGATATTGATATTAGGCTATATCGCCAAGCCCTAAATGAGATATCTAATGAGCATTTTACTTTTAATTTGTGTATATATTTGTTAAATATGTAAATGGTAAATGGCCTGTATTTGATATAGCGCCTTCTAGAGTCCTGGCTCTAGAAGGCTCTTGGCGCTTTACAACACAATCAGTCATTCACCCATTCACACACACATTCACACACTGGTGGGGATGAGCTACAATGTAGCCACAGCTGCCCTGGGGCGCACTGACAGAGGCGAGGCTGCCGAGCACTGGCGCCACCGCTCCCTCCGACCACCACCAGCAGGCAACGTGGGTTAAGTGTCTTGCCCAAGGACACAACGACAGCGACAGACTGAGCGGGACTCGAACCTGCAACCTCCCGATTGCGGGGCGAGCACTTAACTCCTGTGCCACCATCGCCCCATGTAAGCGAGTTACTACCTGCTAGCCACCGAAGCTGCAACTACTGAGCAACTAACCAACCATAGCTAACGTCTTTGGTATAAAAAAAATTCAGATATCAACCCAATAGCTATAATTAGTTGACTTACATTTAAACTTGAAATTTGCCCCTGAAGTAGCTGCCAGCTTCTGATCCACCGTCTTTTTGAAAATACTGCGGTGTACTCTGGGAAATTTTTGACCAAGGCTAGGCTAGAAGATACCTCCTGTGTATCCTTGCTCAGCTAGCTAAATGGCTAACAAATGGAGAACAGATGGCTAAGTAGAACATGAACATTCTAACAAGCCTTGGTGACGTATCCTGAAGATGTATCTCTTACGCAACTGGGGAGGGGCCAAAGCATCAAGGTGAGGTTCCTTGGCACTGAGAAACACCCACCGTGTCTGCCAATCAGGAAGTCCAAATTCCAGTTTTAGTTCTGCATCATTTGTTTGTTAACTGGTGAAATTAATTTGATACGATATGTATCACGATACGGGGAGACGATACAATATATCCCAATATATTGCGATACATTCAGTCAGACGTTATTAGCAATTTTTGTTTGACTGAATTTAATGTAGGAATATTCAATAAATAGACCAAACGGATACTTAACATGTTTAACATGAGGTATCTGAAGCATAACAGAGGGATTTACATTTCAATGGTGGACACAAAACCCATTGGACATTGCTGCCAACTAGCAGTCAGCGTTTGAATTACAACAAAAGAAAAAAAAAACACAAATGTTTGCATGTAAATTCTTCCAAAAATTAGACATATGGCTTTTGAATATCGATATAATATCACAGGGAAAAAAATCACAATATTTTGTCATATCAATATTTTCTTACATCCCTACTGGTGTCTGAGGAATGACTGGCGCAGTTGAAGCACCTTTACTCAACGAAAGAAAAGGTTTGTCCCATTTTTGTCACAGCATCTAAAACCAGAAAAGAAAACTGAAAACCCAAGAACATTTTTAACAAAAACACAAAATGATAAAACTACAGCAACAACCTGCTGATAGAGTGGTGTCACTCTCAAAAACCTTCTGCCTCACATCATAAATGCGGGAGGACATAAAATCTAATGAACTGATGACTCCATCAGATATGAAGATAGAAGCTGGTTCTTATTCTGAGTTTCCTGCTGTTTGTTTACATGATTCCTTCAGGCTTCAGTTTTTATGACATATATGCTAATATTTAAGATTTTGGGGATTCCCTGGTATTTATTACAGCATTAGCCTCCATCACCACCAAGACGCACGCATCTTTACAATAATGATGGGAACTCCGGCTCTTTTAAGAGAACCGGTTCTTATGGCTCGGCTCACTAAAATAAACCGGCTCTTTCGGCTCTCAAACAGCTCCTCGCATTTTTTTTACTTTTTAAATTATCTCCAGAAAATTATGTAAAATGTGTGTGAAATTATTGACCAATCTACAAACTTTCATTAAACCAACTTTTCATTGTTTAAAGGGAGACTAGGCAGTTTGGGCCTGGTTTTAGCACCTCTAGTGTTCGTTTAGTAGAACCAAAAGCAAAACTCATCTCCTCTCTGTGTGAAACGTCTCCCCAGCCGCCGTTAGCATCTACAGAAGGGATTCATCGCTAAATCAAACACATCAGATGTGTTCATGATCTAAAACATGCAGGGAATCTGCTGGAAGCAGACTGCAGCTCCAGGTATGTCAGCTAAACAGTGGCCCGCCATGCTGAAGGTGTGTGATATTCTGGCTACAGAGAGCGGTGGGGTCTGAGTGACTTTTCATTAACCCTGTAAAGGGTCATTTTAGCACATACTGGCTCAAGAAAAGGATTTAAAATGTGAAAAAGTTGCATAGTATCCCTTTAACTAACTTCTAACTATCCAACACTAAAC